ATTTTAAAGGTCCCATGACATGCTGCTTTTTGGATGCTTTTATATAGGCCTAAGTGGTCCCTAGTACTGTATCTTAAGTCTCTTTCCCGAAATTCAGCCTTGGTGCAGAATTTCAGCCACTACGAGCCAGTCCCACAATGAGCTTTCCTTAGGACGTGCCATTTCTGTGTCTGTAGCTTTAAATGCTAATGAGGATGAGAGAGGCAGGGCAACTGCCATGCTTCGCTCGTTTGCAAGCCATGATGTCTCTCGAGGAAAAAAAAAATATTGCACTCGCCTGGCACTGTAGTAGCTCATTTTCTCATGGGCGGGCCAAATTCTCTGGGCGGGCAAAGCAGAGAAAGGGGAGGTAACCTTTCCCCGTATGACGACATAAAGGGAAGATTCCAGATTGGGCCATCTGAGCTTTCATTTTCTCAAAGGCGAAGCAGGATACCCAGGGCTCGGTTTACACCTATCGCCATTTCTAGCCACTGGGGGACCATAGGCAGGCTAGGGGAACTCATGTTAATGTTAAAAAACCTCATAACGTGACATTTTCATGCCATGGGACGTTTAAACTAAAGTGTTACCAAAATACTTGAATTACTAAAATAACTTGAAATAAAATAAAATTAAAGCTAAATAGAAATATATATATATTTTTTAAATCAAAAGCACGTACAATTATTTAAGAATAAAAAAAAAATTAAAAAAAATAAAAGTTAATTGAAAAGAATAATTACTAATAGTATATACATAATTTTAATTATAACACTGCTCACAATTAAAACTAGCTGGAGTGTCATTAGCGCTCTTTTGTTGTAGCAGGGCTCTCATTTTCTCTCCTCTCCTTCAGTCGAAGTTTAGACCACGGTGTGAGAGGAGGACCCTCGCAGTACGGCCCCCGACATCGCCTGTCTGAAGACAGATACTCAACAGACAGGTATGAGTTCACAAAACACGCTCCAGATGCACAGCACTTGTGTCTCCTGTGCCCTTAAAAGTCTTAGTGTTTTCTAGATTGCCTTTTCTGATACCGGGAACATAAATGGGAGTGTTTCCACATACCTTCATCTTTTCCTTTAACATGATTATTGAAATTCAGTGTGAGAAATATGATGAAACATGCCACACAGAGAGAACTATAGAAAGGTTTACTTCATTTCAAGAAAGCAGGAAACAACGTATTCCTCCTCATTTCTCTTTGACATCACTCTCTCATTTGATCTGTCAGTCTCTCGCTATCTTTCCATCGCTCCATATTCAATAGCTCCATTCAGCCATACTTCTGTTCTTTACTCCCTGTGGTTGCAGCCAGTATCTTACCCTCCCTCCTCGAACCAGACACAGACAGCCAAGCGTCGACCCCGCTATCCAGGACCCCAGGTATTCTGTCAGGCCTCCCCCTTCTGTCCAATCACAGCGCTCCTTTCACTTTCACCCGCCCACTTCCCTCATGCTGCTAGTTGATTGACAGGTGACAGCTTGCCCACACATAGCACTGTATAAGAGGTTGCTCTTCTCACTTGATTCATTACAAATATGAAATGAAGACTAGTGAACGCACTCATACATAATATATCACATCTTAGGACAACTGAGTCATGTTTTTACACGAGAAGTCATCTGTTACTGAGGCTCTCACTTTCTTAGTACGTACTTTAAAGGAATATGCAGGTTTCACTACAAGCAAAGCTCTGTCAACATGATTGTGAGACGAACTGTCCATTACCATAGAAAATCATTTGGACTTGCACTTCAGTTTTGTTCAAACAAAACAAAATCGCCTTTACAGTGATACACTTTAAGTAGTAATGCACTCATTTTGCACTTACTTTAAAGCTCTTCTTACTTAGAGAAAAGTTACCAGATTACTTCTCTGAAGTCTCATTTCAACACTTACAGTATAATGTGGCAATACTTTGTTTTTAAACATTTATTATATAACATATATGTCACATCTGTTTATATGCCATTGTAAATGTATTATTGTAAATGTGGTTTTGGTTTGTATTGTTTACAAACTGAAGGACAAAATACACAAAATAATACTGTTCAAAAGTTTGGGTCAAGTAATTTTTTTATGTTTTGTTATCCGTTTTTTTTTTTTTTTTCACAAAGTCTCTTTTGATCACCAAGGCTGCATTTATTTAATACCCACTGTATATGAGAAAAATAAAACAAAAATATTATTATAATTTAAAATAATCTATGTGAATATATTGTAAAATATAATTTATTGCTGTGATCAAAGCTGAATTTTCAGCATCATTACTCCAGTCTTCAGTGTCACATGATCCTTCAGAAATCAGTATAATATGCTGATTTGCTGCTCAAGAAACATTTCTGATTATTATTATTATCAATGTTGAAAACAGTTGTGCTACTTAATATTTGTGTGGAAACCATGATACACTTTTTCAAGATCCTTTGATGAATTAAGTTCAAAAGAACAGCATTTATTTGAAATAAAAATCTTTTATAACATTATCTGTATCATAAATGTCCTCCTTAATATTTTTGTGGAAATCCTGATGCATTTTCAAGATTGATGAATAGATAGTTCAAAAGAACAGCATTTTTTAAAATAGTAATCTCTGTAACAATGTAAATGTATTTCCTGTCACTTTTAATCTATGTAATGCATCAATGCTGAATAACAGAATTAATTTCTTGACCCCATACTTTTCAGTGGTACTGTAATTTTCAGTGGCCAAAGAGCAAAACTTGTATTAAAACTGGCAGGGGGAATTCACAGAGAATGAATTGTGCCTGATTCACTTTTCACAAATCGTGCAGATCAGTACTATTGTGTTCGCACTATTCTGATGACGAAATACTGTATGAAACCCAAACCATACTTTGACCTTTAATTTGCTTAGAGCAAATAGAGTTATCTATAATGTTATGGTTATGTTATGGAATCTATAATGATCTTCTAGTATTATATATAGACGACTAGAATACTAGAGGATATCTATCTATCTATCTATCTATCACTATCTCTCTCTCTCTCTCTCTCTCTCACACACACACACACACACACACACACACACACACACAACTGTTTGGTGAATTCTTTTAAAAAGTACAGTAGTGTTGTGCACTTGCTAGCTGTGTTGGGGAAAGTTCAAAGTAATGCATTACAATATTGCGTTACTTAGTTACTCTTTAAGGAACGATACCTTTGCGTTACTTTTTGTCACCTGGGCTGGGCTTGCTTTTTTGATTTTTAATAGCAAAACACCCAAAAGTTATATTTTTAGCAACTGTAAAGGCCCTTTCACACCAAAAGTGAAACTAATAAGCCTCAGGCTGAAGGAAATGCCTCTGCATCTCACCTTTAATTTCTCTCTTCATGGGGACAGGAGAGGAGTCAGTGAATAAATGAGAAAACAAAGTAACTGGCCTTACTTATTTGAAAAGGTAACTCAGATATTTCATTGTAAATTAAAAAGTAATGTGTTACTTTACTAGTTACTTGAAAAAAGTAATCTGATTACGTAACTCATGCTACCCCCAACACTGTATGCTAGTATTATCTAGTGTGCAATAGTACTGTACACAAGTAGTCGCACTTGCACATTTTTAATTCTCGCCACTGAAAAAAGAACTACATCTGCACTTCTGTGGGATGAACAAATCTTTGTTGCTGCTGGTGTGTGCTGCAACATGATAGTTTTGATTGCTTAGCATATCTGCCAGTTCTCTTGACCCAAAGTTACTTGATTTCTGCTTTTGTGCTTCGAGCGATCTTCACCTGTGCCTGGAAGTGCCGGATAAAGAGAGTTTAAGAGCTCCGCCCCTTTATCACCTAGATAAGGCCAACTTGCCCCACCCGACTCTTAACCACTGTACTCTCACTTTCTGTTCTGACTCATAGTATGCACCCCCTCTATCGGGAGGACGCGGTCAGGTTACTGCGCTCCACTAGGATGGCCCGTGCCTTCTCAGACGGGGCTTACAATAGCGTGGACAGGTAGTAAACCACAGCGGTTCACTCTCGTTCTCATGCTGCTCCATATTAGTGCTGTAGGTAGTAGTTTGGACTAGAGTAGCTAGTGGCACCTCTCAAAATGTTTCACATTTATGTAGGGCTGCACGATAACTGGTTAATCACGATTTTGTTTAAAAAATATAATCACAAAATACTGTCATTTTATTATTATTACTTTTTTTTTTTTTACATTATTGCACTTTCATTTAAGCACTAATCAAGAGAATTTCAACTCGCATGGTTTGCTCACGGATCTAGTCGCTGCAAACAGCGCAAAAGACCGCGTGAAAGAAAGCTGATTGGCTTGTATTTGAGAAGAATATCTCAATGGAGATTGTTAAACTCCAACTTACATGTTTGCCAGTGTTTTCAGCTCATCAGCGCTTTTTCTGTAATGTAGAGAGAATGTGTGTGCAACAAGGCAGAAATGTATCAATTTGAAAAAAGCTCTGATTGGGGGATTTAAGCTCTTGAAATCTGGCAACCGCAACTATGAAAGCTTGTGGAGTCTTGTTACCAATGCAAGATAACGCAAATGCCAAATTAAAATGAAATGTTTTCAGGATAAATAACCGCTGATGATTATCCTAAGGGGATAGTTCACCCAAAAATTACAATTTTGTCATCATTTACTCACCCTCAAGTAGGGCTATAGGCGATATAGCCAAAAAAATTATCACAATTTCATATCATTCGGTATCAATAATTATTGAAATTTTTTAATAACCTTTTTTAAACAAAGAGCAGTAGAATTTTTTTTAATTAACTACTGTATTTTTTACCCAATTTATTAAGACAAACAACAAATAATTGTAGTTTTAACAGTCAAACACAAAATAAAATTTCAATGAATATCTATTTTTTTATATATTATATGCAGATTAAATAAGTGTTAAGGAAACATTTGGTCTGTCTCCACAGGAGGCCGCAATGAGCAAAATAATGCACCGTGTTAAATTGTTTATTCAATGTCTATAAAAAAAGTGCGTAACATTTAAACTAACATAAATCAAATATAATTTCGTAAATTGCATAAACAAAAACCGCATCATGTATTTATGCGTAGCTTAATACAAATAGCCAAAGCGCCGATCACACGATTGCATTTAAAAACATATGAGACTCAGTGGAATGGAATATAATCCCCACAAATTCTCCAGACATGTTTTCTAAAAGTTGAACCTCTTTTAACTTTACATGGCTTTCTATTCATCTCTTGTGCGAGACGTGAGTGCAACAGTCATAGTTGTGCGTCTCAAAAATGCGCCGAATGCGTTCTGTGTGAATGGCTTGGTTTCGGTTTTAACCTAACTAAGATCTCCTCCGCATTGAGCTTCTATATTTCTCTCATTTCTTATATTACTTCTATATTCATTTGGGTGAACTATCGCTTTAATAAATCAAGAGAAGTGGAAATCGTGATCACAATTAAAATGCGATTCATCATGCAGCCCTACGTTTACGTCACCTGATTTACAAAGTGTGGATTAGGATCCATTTTAGGAAACTTTCCAATGGGCGGAAAAGGAGCCGATAATGGCGAATGTCATTTTCTTCGAGAAATGTCGTAAAGATTTGTAAGGCACTTTGGCTGTAGCATCAGTCTTCCGCCCATTGAGAAAGCTTTGTGCAGGAGCCTCTCTGGAGGATAACATACATGATAGTGCTCAGATTGTAACTTTGCCAACTACGCCACTAAGTACGCCAGCAATATTTCCCAAAGGAAATGTGTGCGGTGTGTCCTTAGCAGCTCCCACTCCATCCTTCCCACCATGGTGTAATGAATTGTATCCTCAGCGCTGCTGTCTGGACGGCTGGTGCTGTTTTGATGACTGAGCTCTATAGTTCTTTCAGTCCCAAGCTAACTAGCGTAACTCTATGACAGAACTGCCAGTCAAAATACTGCAAGCTACAGTGGATGTTCACCATGCTTATATATGAATGTATTATTTAGATATGTGGGATTCCATCTATTCAGTATGTTTTTGTAGGCTTAGTGGATACTCAGATGTTGTGGATCTAGCCAGCTTTGGTTAGAGAGGCCCTAAGGTGCGATTCACATATAATTTATGCACCGTTTTCATATAATAATGAAAATAGGTGTGGTCACATAGCAAAATTTTGCAGACAAATAGGTCCATTGTCAAAAGTATAGTGATGTATGAAGCACAGCTCAAAATACGTTTATATACAACCAAATAATCCATTAGTAATTGGATTAATGACTCAGTAGGATTGAAAAGCTTTCATGCAAACAATTGATCTGAACGAAATGTCGATTAGATTATAAGGGTCGGTGTAGACTTGAAATTGTCCGATCCCTGGGAATCAAACCCATGACCTTGGCATTGCTAGCACCATGCTCTGTTGTTTGAACTACAGCTTTGAGCTTTTAATCAGTGACATTTGCTAAATCAAGCATCACTTTTACTATTGCTCATAGTAACTATTACATTTTGACACATACAATAAGTTATCCCATGCATTTAGAATTGCTAATGTTGCATCATATTTATTTTTATGCGTTTTTATAGTGTTGCGCAGTATAACCAATCACACACGATTCCGTTGAGTTTATGAATGCAATGGTCAATCAAGAGGTAGTCATCTCTGAAATGCCTGTGTTCTGTGCAAGCGCTCACTGACTGAATTCTGCACTCTCGCGAATTCTCTCATCATAAACAACAGAGTGCAGATTTACATGCAATATAAGAGATGCATTCATCATACAGTGCAGACACCTTCATTGATTGCCTAAAAAGATGGGTTTATGGTGTGCGTAGTTAATAGATTACACTAACATTAGGCTACTTTTAGCCTTACCCTGCAGTTGGTTCACACTACGCCTATGCCAAAGCAACATGCTAAAAAGCCACACAGAACCCCTTAGCAACTTTCTTGCAACCACCCACAACAGCCCTACACTGTGGCACTGAGTTTTGCATAGGCAGCCTATTAATTCTTGAAAATCCTAGATTTCCTGAGAGATTTCCTCTAGCTCAAACAGCAGACCATTGCACTTGCAACACCAAGGTCATGGGTTCGATTCCCAGGGAATGCATGAAACAATAAAATGTATACCGTGAATGAAACATAAGTCACTTTGGATAAAAGTGTCTACCAAATACATAACGGGTAACACTTTAATTTAGATACCAATTCTCACTATTAACTAGTTGCTTATTAGCATGCATATCACTAGCATATTAACTAATTATTAGTACTTATAAAGCACATTTCAATGCCTTATTCTGCACGACCATATTTTAGATCCCTTAACCCGATCCCATACCTAAACTTAATAACTACCTTACTAACTATTAATAAGCAATAATTAGGAGCTTATTGAGGTAAAAGTCATAGTTTATAGTCAGTTAATAATGAGAATTGGACCCCAAACTAAGATGTGACCCATAAATGTCCCATTATGTTAATGTCCCATTCTCTTGGAAAAATAGTGATATATCACACCATATCATGAGAATGAATGAATGTGAATATTGAGAATGGATATGTGAATCTATAGCACCCTACGGCTGCATTGGGCTTATTTTTGGCAAGAAGAGTTACGTTGTCACGTAGGATCTGATTGTGTGTTATTTTGTGTTCAGGAGGATGAGGAGAGATAGACAAATGTCTGCCTACAGTGACTCATTTGAATCTCCTGAGAGGTAAAATCTGGATACTTTAGTTGAGACATGCATTCATAATAGGACTGTTTTATACTAGTTACAGACATAACCCTCACCCCTTGCCCTAACTCAGCTGTTGCTCATTCTAATCATGCTTTCCTTTCTTCATTTCAATCTATCGATCCTTATCCTCCATTTAAAGATATTACAATGGGCCCAATCATGTATCTACTCCATGGCCCAATCATGTCATGAATGGAACCAGTGCAGACTACAGGTAAGACTTCTGAAGAGATAAACACCCATAGCACATCACGAACGCTCGCCCTTTCTTTACTCATCTGTTATCAACTGCCAGGAGCAGATGCCACATTTATGTTCCCACTGAGGCTTTGTGTAGTAATGGATCCCAGTTATGGATTTAAAGCTCAAGTTGATTTATTTACTTTCTCAAATACTGATCTGTTGTACCTTTTTAAGCAAATATATACTGAATAGCATGTACTAAGTGTGGCACTAACCCACTGAGGTTGGTTTATTCAGTAGGACGTGTCCCAGGATAGAAATTGAGCCTTCTGCAGATACAGAAAGGTATAGTTACATTAAATGCAGTAGTTTCAGTGCAGACTCAAGTTGGATTTAGATGTTGTAGTTGTCCTGTGATCTTTACATTTTACAGCATTTTTAATGTTTTCGGGTATTCTGGCAGCTTTTCTGGTATAATGGCAGAAGCACAGTGAAAAACAAATAATATGTTGCTTCTTATATAAATAGAAGATTTCATAAACATCACTGGCGTTAGCTGAATCATCTTAGTGTCTTAGTATGGTAGCTAGTTTTTAGAATGTAATTATATTTAGTTTTAGTTAGTTTAGTTTGAACTAGTACCCGATTCTCACTTTGAAGAGTGTATTTTCAGTATATCCTTGTGAAAAAGAAGTACTCTTTTGGATAAATGTACTTATTACAAAAATATTATGCTTTAAAAAATACTTAAGTGTGAACTGAATGCAATGTTTTCAGACACTTAATTGCATGTTAATTGCAATTCAGTGAAAATGTATTATAGTTCAAATTTATATTAAATGCATTATTTTTCTTACTTAAGGAGGACTTTAGTACATCTTTATATGTAATTTCATAATTACTTCCAGTGACTTTGAAATATGGTTAAAGTGTAACTGCTGAATGCACTAACAAGCATTTATGGTAAAGCAAAATATAATTGAATGTCACTATTGAAACTTGTATGTCCTGTATTTAAATATATTTGTAATTAATCATTTGTAATGATAAAAGTGAAATTTAGTACATTTAAAACATGAACAAAGAGTATTAAAACATAATGATTTTAAATATACTTTAAAGTAAAACTTCTAATTTGACATTATTACAAAGTGCACTTTTTAAAAGTCTACTTAAGTGTGTTAAGAAACAGTCGTGAATAGTGTTGGGGGTAACGCATTACAAGTAACATGAGTTCTGTAATCAGATTGCTTTTCTCAAGTAACTAGTACAGTTTACTTTTAAATTTACAACAACAAATCTGAGCTACTTTTTCAAATAAGTAATGCCAGTTACTTTGTTTTCCCATTTATTCACTGACATCTCTCTTGTCCAGTGTTGAGAGGAATTGGGAGTGAGGTGCAGAGGCACTTCCTTCAGCCTGAGGCTTATTAATTTCACTTTTGGCCTCTACAGTTGTTATAAACATGCAAATAAGACAAATAAGCAAGCTCAGCACAGGTGACAAAAAGTAACGCAAAAGTAACGGAATGCATTACTTTCCATAAAACGTAACTACTGTAAGTAACGCAATTAGTTCCTTTTTTGTTTTTTTAGAGTAACGCAATATTGTAATGCATTACTTTTAAATGTAACTTTCCCCAGCACTTGTCATGAATGTCTCTATTTAATAATTAATAATAATAATTAATGCATTTAACAGACGCTTTTATCCAAAGCGACTTACAGTGCATTCCGGCTATACATTTTTAACCAGTATGTGTTTTCCCTGGGAATTGAACCCATGACCTTTTGCGCTGCTAACGCAATGCTCTACCGCTGAGCCACAGGAACATTTAAGTACACTTAAGCGCCCTTTTATTTCATTAATATTATATTGTATTATCTGCAAGTACAGTTTTTAAAAGTATACTTTTAAGACTTGAAGTACACTACAAGCACATTCAATATTTTTTCACAAGGGTATATTATGTAATAAGGCTGTTTAGCAACTCCTTATGGTTATAAGAGCTACTAAATTAGCATTTTATGTCCTTCTCTTATGCACCTCTATAGAGAGGACAATATCCCAGAGTTCCCAGCTAACCATGAGCACTTTGAGGAAGATCTAAGGTAATACAGCAGAATTTGTGCAAGTGTTGCCATAGATAGAGTATATAGGAGTAGAGTAAACTGTAGACACGGGGCTTATAGTTGTGTTAGTATGAAATGTGTTCACTTGTTTTCTTTGCAGCAGCCTCCTGAATCTTCTTTTTGTTTGTTTCATATCAAATTGTTGGTTAACACTTATTTTTGGTTGTTCCAGTTTAGTCCTTCGTTTTATGATTTCCCTGAGCAGCCACTGCTGAATATTAAAGCCACTTTTGTTTGGTGTGCTAATTATTAGCCAAGTGATATCATTTCACAGGAGTGACCTAACAGCTGAGAGTAATTTTATGCCCTGTGATCCCATGATGCACTGGGGCTCCGCTGAGCGTGGCTTTTTGACTAACGTTCTGCAGGTATAGCCGCAGCATGGTGGACAGACATGACCATTACAGGTCCAGGTCAGCTGACCAGCGGCCCATGATGGAGCGACCGGTCTACACGCGCTCCCGCTCGTCCGAGCGGCCCGACTCCGTCTACATGAGATCCATGCCGTCCTTACCGTCAGGGAGATCCGCCCCTCCCTCTCCTGCCTTAACGAGGTGACCCGACCCATCACAACAAGCACTAAAGCGCTAAACGAACCCATGCCTTCTGCTTCCTGTCACCTGGAATGCCCCTCTCTCCACATCCTCTTATTTTAACCCTGTGTTGTAACGATGCTGTTTATGATTTTATCTTCATTTATAGAGTAGAGTAGTGATGATGGTTGCTACTAACGTCTTTTCATTTGGATTATAGACACACCTGTTATATCCTCTTGAGATATAATGGTGTGTACCTGGCAACGTACAGTTTTGTTTTGACTTATTTTTGTGTGTGTGTGTTACTAACACTATTTATTTGTTGTTTAGCAGTTTATGCTTTGAGTTATGGGCTGTTATGAGTGCCGTGTGCTCATGCATTTAGGCCTTTTCACTTTCCTTGCAGCTTTAGCAGCCACAAGCACCTCTCCTGATGCTGACTCCATCACACCTTTTGAGACACCATAACACTTTTTGACTTACGATTTGCCCGGCACATCATAAGTCACTAGGAAATGACATAAATGTGTCAGATTTGCACATGAACTTTCACTGATGCGGTAGCTTTTGGATGTGCCACAGTTGACATTGAGATGTGAGCCACATGTACTGAAAGCTGATGTGACACTGAGCTCAAAAGGTGCTTTACAGATCATTGTGTTTACTGTGGAGTTGATGTGCATTTTAAACGTATGTATTCATATTTTTACGTGGCTAAAATGCACATGACTGTGACATATTTATTAAATGCATGCTCTTATATGGTCAGATGTTTTTTTCTGACGGAATAATTCTGTCAAGAACATGCTAAGTCATATTTCACCACAAAATTGGAAGATAAAAGTAAGAAATTATTTTATAAAAATACAATTAAGCCTGTTTTAGATTCAGTAAGATTTTTTTGCATTGTGATTTTCAGTATGTGTCCAGATGGTTTATTGTGTAATCGTTTTAAATGTTGATTCTCATTTTTGTTTCTATATTATTTTTATTTCTGTATTATTACTATTTCATTTCTCATTTCTATTTCTATATTATGTGCAAAAAAAACACTTTTGCACATAATATGTAATAATAAAACTGAGACTAATATTATTAACAGAACAAAGGTGCTGGAATGGTTTAAACGGCACATGAAGGCTTTTACAAAGTACTTTCTCACAAATGAAAAATACGTTTTCACCAAAGACTTTGCATTACATAACTTTTAGTATTTACAAAATACATGGTTATAAATATATATAAAAAACTGTTTTATGCAATTTCTTTCAGCAAATCAGTGTAAACGAAAACCAATGCAACAAACACTAGTAAAACATTACAATTTAAATATTACATAATTACATAATATACAGTGGGTACGGAAAGTATTCAGCCCCCCTTAAATTTTTCACTCTTTGTTATATTGCAGCCATTTGCTACACCCCCCTTTAAAATAATCACATTTTGTTGCTTTGCAGCCTGAAATGAAGACAGACACAGTTTTTGTTTTATCCAGCTGTATTTAATCAGTGCAACTCCAAGTGAAAGATATAACACCAATATGTCAGAAAAATAACTAGAGTCACTGAGTTGGAAAAAAGAATCACCCCCCTCCTAAAATGACTTGTATATAACACCAATATGTCAGAAAAAAAAAACTAGAATCACTGAGTTGGAAAAAAGAATCACCCCCCTCCTAAAAATGACTTGTAAACTCAATCAGGTTACAAGAAAAAAGCCACTCCTCAAGAAAGGCCACATGCAGTCACGACTGAGCTTTGCCAAAACACACCTTGAAGATTCTGAGACAGATGAGACTGAAATTTTATTATTTGGCCTCAGCACCAAACAATATGTCTGGCACAAATCCAATACAGCTCACCATCCAAATAGCACCATTCCTACAGTAAAGCATGGAGGTGGTGATATCCTGTTATGGGGTGTTTCTCTGCAGCAGGGACTGGAGCACTTGTCAGGATAGAAGGAAAAATGGATGGGGCAAAATACCGTCAAAGGAAAATCTGCTGCCCTCTGCCAGAAAATTGTCAATGGAAAGAAGGTTTACCTACCAACATGACAATGACCCAAAGCACACAGCAAAACTGACCACACAGTGGTTAAAGAAGAAAAAGGTGAATGTCCTTACATGGCCCAGTCAGAGCCCAGATTTAAACCCCATTGAAAATCTGTGGAATGACTTGAAGACTGCAGTCCACAAACGGTCACCATCAAATTTAACTGAACTTGAGCAGTTCTGCAAA